GGGGGGGGAGGCGCGTGTACTTAGAAGTTCGCGTAGCACGAGTGCAAACACTCAAGAAATACAGGCAAGAATTCAAAGGTGAAATGCAAACGCCGTTGTGCGCCAAACACGAAACATCACAAGAAACTGCAAAGCTGAAAGCAAAGCACTTTCCCTTTTTACGCGAAGGTGGTGAAGTCCTGCACTATGTCTGGAAGCCTACGAAACATGCACGAACTGCATTTGGCACCTGGTGCGTGCCAATCTTCTGAGGGCTCAACTGCAAACAAATCTCATTGAAGGAATCTCAAAAGAGCCCCCACTTTAGAGAGATTCCTGGTGAATTTAGAAAGCAGGACCTAGGGATCACCAAGGAGACTTATCAACCCTCTTATTAACTCTGGCCAGGGGAACCTTGGTCCTAGCGAGCCTGGCTCGTTCCTTTAACTCCTCGAATTCCCGCTTTGTCTCCCAAAGGGCGAAGACCGTGGAAAGGTCGATATCCGAGAAACACACTGGAATTCGCTTGCTCAAGTCAAATGCATCGAAGACCTCATTGGTGAGGCTGTCAGCCTCCTCGTTCTCTTCCCTTGCTCTCCATCTCAGGTCTAACGAAAGTCTTGCCTTGGCGATGGCAGATGAGAGTTGCATGTTTATGGCCATGAGGGGCCATTTCGTCGTCGTGCGCTTGGTTGATAACACATCGTTGGCACGGTTATCTGTGCCTGCTGCAAGCACCACAGGGACCGACTTGCGGTGCTTCCCTTGCGTGATCCAACCGAACACACCGAGGGCAACCAAAGATGCTAAGAGCTCCGCCGAGGTCGATGCCCACATTGCCCCCTTCCCTTCCTGGAAAAAGAACGGGACATCACGCTGCGTTGACCTTAATGAGAACCATCTCCTAGTGTCAAGTTTCCAACCCCCCAAGACCACCAAGTCGTCAGTGCGTTTTGCGTCAGTCCTGAAGATCTCGCGCGAAACCACAACGGGCCTCTTAACAGAAATCAAGAAGGTCTCACCCTTTAATTCCAAGTCGATGTACTTTAAAGTAAGAATCACAGTGTCAGGCAGCTTCCCCACAGTGCCCGGGGCCACCACGGCGGCCCATGCAAACAAAGGAGACAAGCACGGCTTCAGCCAGACAAGCAGCTGTGAGACGAACCCCAAACGACCAAGGAACTCAATGAAAGACCTAGCCACAACGACAAAGCGATCGGCGGCAGTTTTTGCAATCCATTCAAGCAACCATTGACCCCTCTTCTCGGAAATGCCAACTTCTGCAAGGTCGTATCTCAAGTGGAAACCAACAAACTCCGAGGCAAAGCCACCGTGGAACTTATGGTACCCAAAAGGAACCCCCACGAGTTCGAAGGCCAATAGCCAGATCCAAAGGAGCCAAAATTTATGCTGTCCTATGAATGCACCATGCAAGTCATCCACATAAATCATATGGAGAAGCCAATTGTCCTGCATGCAATACATCACGAATCGGCCGATCAAGCCGCAAAGTTTCGACCACCAAAATGGAGCGCTTGAGATGCCGAATGTTCCAACCTGGTTCACCCAGACTGTCTCAGAAGAAGAGTCAACCCTACAACACAAATACCCCCAGTCGGACTTACGTATTTTCACGAGTCTGTGGGCGGCTTTGATGTCGGCTGAGACGCAAAAGGGGGCCTCTGTGGACTTGACTGAAGTACGAACGACTGAAGCAATCTCCCCTGGGCCGGGGCATTCGAGTTGGTCTTGATAACGAATCACGTTGTTGACTTTCACCGAACGCGTCCCGTCGAAGGAGCCGCACTGTCCCGTCCGGTTTCTTGATGGCCGCCATTGATGCGATCCTCAGCTTGTCACCATACTGCTCACGAAGCACGCCCATTTTGGAAGGGAACATCCTGCCGAGGGCTTCCTCCTCCCTAAACTTCGTTTCAAGCTCCGAGGATGACATGTCTGCGGATGCATAGTTTTGCGCAATCGGGCAAAAGTCTGAATCATCCACCTTGCGATGCTTGACCTTCGGGGGGCAAACCTGAGCAGACCTGGGAAGAGGTTTTTCAACGCCAAGGCAAACACCTGAGGCAAACGAGTCCTCAACGTCGACAAGCCATTTGGTGTCCGGGTCGGAAAATACTTTGAGCCATTGAGCGAGGCCTCTCAAAAGGAAGGGCTGCCCCTGATCCACAACCAACGCATCCTCCGGATCCGGTAGCAACCCTGCCCACTCACGACGAAGCACTGCCAGAACCTCATCAGGAAAGGGGGAGTGTGTAAGTTTGCCCGTCACCAGTCTGAAGGCCTCCTTTCTAGGGTCCTGGATGACTCGCTGGACTGTCCCACGAAGGAGGTCGAATGTAGCTGCGGCGAGCTCTTTCATTCCACTGGACCTCCTCTCACCCCAAACTCACGACTCTTGCCACCCCATTCAACGGACACGACGGACATGGGATGACCTCTATTCATGCACGCTTCCATGTCGAAGCCGTCGGACTCCTGAGCCCTCACCTCATCCTCACAAGCTGATCGACCGGAGCGCTCTGGGGGAGCCATGTCGTCCTCACCAGTCAGGTCAAGTACTTCAGCCTGTTTCAAAAGCCTTGGGACCTTAGCGGGCGGTTGTGATTCCAGTGCGGGTGGATCCCTATTTATCTTAGAGGCAGGATTAGAAGCAGGATTAGGTTCAACGGGTTGTGGCAAACTGGATGGTCGAGACTTGGGGCCCCCTCCGGAGGCTGCGTGCGCAGACAAGATGAGACCAGCCAAAAACTCACAAAGCAACGGTGGATACGAGGCGGAGGGTCCTGTGTTCCACGCGCCATTGGATTTACCGATCAGGTTGCGAGCATGAACATGGCCGCAATCCCTGGGCAATGGGCCCTTATAAAATCCAAGCTTATCGAAACGAGGCAGTGTCTGCAAACACCTGGTGTCCTGAGTGTGCAACGTGGTCATGAACCGAGTGGGCTTGGGAGTGTCGGCACCGAAATGGCATTGATGTACGGCAAAACAATGTGCTCGGGTCGATGCTATCAACTCATGAATCTCAGGCCATTGCCAAACAGAACCGGGGTGTTCACCGTGCACGACTCCCAAATCCTCCGGGCGCTCGAACAGGAATTTACCTGCAGAGGCATGGCATAGATTGCAAGCTTCAATGCACTTGTCGACAAAATGATTTGCTTCCTGAACAATGTGTGAATTCGAAGAGTTCAACCACGGAAAACCCCTAGGCCAGGACTTACTTCGAAGCGGTCTAGGGCCTGGATGCAGCCTGTATTGAAATCGAGCCCTGCTGAATGAATTGCATGGCGGAGAAGCTATCAAAAACCAATTGCCCTCTCGGAGGGATGCAAAAAGAGAATCCCACAGGCCATCATCGGTCAAGTCATGTTCACCAGACCGTCCAATGTCAAGCTCTCTGAGATCCAAGCGGACCCTACCCTGTTCCTCAGCTTTCCTCAGGAAAGAGCCGATGTCAGAGTGGCGGCGTTTGCCAGCAAAAAGATACATGACCTTCAAATCGGCAGTCGAGGCAACATGTGTGTGCAACACGACATCCAAATTGGCAGTCGATGCGGCATGCACGAAAGGCTCCGAGGCGCTGGCTCCCAGCGGGGCCTCAATTTGTCAACCCTTCTTCTCTTTATGATGGATGGCCATGTGCTCCTGATAACAGCCCTTCACGCGGCAAACATGGACACGATTGCAACCTCCTTCACAGTTACCATTGTTCCACGCGAAACAAAGTTCACGATTGTCAGGAGTCCTCCATGCCAACGAAAGCCCTGACAGTCGAGAATCCTGTGACTTGGACTTCCCCTTCCCTTTCTTGCCTTTGCCTTTGCCTTTGTCTGACGGAGAACCCTTCGAAAATGCACCTTTCCAAGAAAAACGAGCAAACTTGTTGGGAGGATTTCAGAGGAAGAATGCGCGGCTTTCAAAGCAACAGGTGTCGCGAAGAAAGCTTCTTTGAGATCAGCATCACGGATGACTGAAGGCAAGGCGTCGGCTAAAGTATGACCCTGATTGATTACCAGCTTCATGGCCTCACGGCGCAACTTGTGCTCATAGGCTAAGACGATTGTCCAATCAGGCTTGACTCTCTGTTGCTGCTCTGGCGACGTCGTCGGAATCTGGATGTTCAATACACGCTCACCAAGGATATATTCAACGAACTTGGTGAACGGTTCTGCAGTCAAACCATGCAACCAATGCTTAGACCTACACCTCGAAGCCATGGAAAGCCATGCATACATTTCAACTTTCATCACTTTACGATATTCCTCCGCGTTGACCGGCATCTTAGATTTACCTTTTGCGCGAGTCACACGAATGAGCCCGGTCGAATCAACAGCGGATTGAAGCTGCGAAAACGAAGAGGCCTGTTTGCTAATGATCTCGTCCAAAGGTGAGGCGGTTGGTTCGTTCGCCTCAGTTTCCTCAGCTTTGAGTGAAAGATAATCAGGCGCAGGGCATTCCGAGTCACCCAAAGTCCCATAAACAGCCTCCACTGCTTTCAACATGGCCTGCCTCTCATGAATCTGCAAAATGCGAGGTTGCCCCAGGACCTTGGCCTCTGCACGAAGCTCCACTTCCTTCGCCAAGAACTCCTTTGCAATCTCCCAAGAGGAGACTACTGCGGCGGTCTCAGCCCTACCCTGGGGTGTGTCCTGGGGGATTGCGAAATCATGCAGGCACGCGGTCCGAATCGAAGCACGATCATCGCCCAATGCTGAGAACTTCCTCAAAGATCCGTACCGCCTAGCGATGGCGGCCTGGTTCCCAATACTGACAGAATCACCCAAAATGAATTGGAGGTCGGAATCCATGTTCTGGGAGACAAACTCCCTATTCACTGCATCAGGATCACCACCATTGCCCCGGCGCCGGCGGGCCCTAGCCCGAAACCCTAACGTGAAGAAGGGAAGAAAACAAGGTCAAAAGAGAAGGCAAGAAGACCCCTGCAAAAGTTGACAGTTCTTGAGGCGTCCAAACGACCTCAACAAACACGTCAGAACGCGTCGAGGTTGTCAAAACAATCCATCAGATTTGTGTGGCTTAAGTCCTCACCTGAGCCTCATCTTGCGGCCCGCAACGGACACTCTCATTCCACGATCGAGGCGATTGCAACCCCTTCCAAACAATTTCATGGCCGTCCAAACGTCTCAAATGCCTGTGAAGAAATCACGATTCGTAAAGGGCACAGGTCAGTTTCCCAAATAAAGGAGTCAACCAAAAATGGCCATTCAGGTTGAATCGAATCGAACTCAGAACACCAATGAGCATTGCACGCGCGCGCGCGTAACAGACCTCAAAAAAGAAACCCCAACCGCGCGCGCCGAGCCGGTCACAATCCATCTCTCATGCACGCGTCCGTGTGTAGCTTCCACACGTGCTGACTAGTGTCTGAACACGACTGAATCAAAGGCACAAAATTCAACGTGAAGCGCACGTTCAAAGAAATTCAAAACACACTCAAATGAGCATCCAAGAGAAACATGAGGCCCTAACCCGAATCCGTTGACGATGAGGAGGCAGTCGAACTTGATTCCTGGTGATCCTTGCCACTCTCGGCGAGCATACGCCTTTTACAAGATCTGCAAATGGAGCCGAAATCTGCGGAATCAACTGTGTCAAGATACAGCGCTTCGAGGCACCGGCCGGGCTTGACGTGACAGCCTGACATGTGGAGCCGCTTCAAACCTGCCCTTCGAGACACGATGACAAAATACTTTGATTCTTTTGCCAAATGAAAAGATTCCATTTGAGCAAACCGTGCAACCGCCTCCTCTTGCCCCTCGTCAATGAAGTCTTCCACCAAATCTAAATCCTTGGTTTCCACTTCCAGCGTGGGGTATATACCTCCCAGGCAGTTCTTTCCAGAAACATTGCTCAAGACTTTGTGGCGCCTCGCAATCCTGGTCGGATTAGCACCGTGATCCTCTGCGAACTTGCCAAATTTCCCAATCAATTCATCTTCGAAGAAATCCTCAGGGCCCCCTTCAACCAGAGTTCTGTTCACAGCACGTTGGATTTTGAATACTACCTGACGAGACGTCCTCACGTACTCCTCGGCAGCCACTGAACCCATTGACCATCTTCCGAGAAACGCTCTCTCATCCCTAGAAAAGCCAATCACAGCAGCAACCGAAGTCATGAAGTTCGGTGGTGAATGCCCTGAGAAAATTTCGCTAAGCCGTCTGGAGCAGGAGTTGATTTGGTGTGACATCCCAGCCTTGAAATACTGCCTTCGGCGTTCCCAACTGGGACAACAAGCAAGCAAAGAAATGAGTCCAAATGTCCAATCCCACACGTAGCCAGTCCCGACCAGTCAATGAAACTGTCCTCAGGATATGACCGCCAGCTCTTTCTGCGGCTTATGTTTTGCTTCTTCCCAAAATGAAGCTCAACCCAAAGTTCGAAAGGGTCATACGATGTGGGAGGATTGACTGAACATCGTCACAACGCATCGCACCCCAAACCATGCATGAAACGACCCACGCTAATGCCCTAGCAAAAATGGCTGCTTCATTGTCTGTGACTGATGCCTCCAAAGAAACCAAAATGGCAACTGTGTGCATCTCAGCTGGCTTCCTGGGGGGTGCATCCAACTCTGCAGTCCATTACTTGACGTGACCCTTCCACAATGTGTGTCTTCACGAAACTTGTATCCCCTGTGAAGCTCAAGCCACACTTCAAAAGGATGCCACACCTTGCAGCGGTTCTTGAGGGTGTTGCCACGCCTTGCAGGAAAAAGATGAATCCAACCTGTGCGGGGATCCTCAAGAGTCTGAACAAGTGCAACAACTAGGAGCTCATTTTTTTTCCACGAGTACGGACGCCGTGTGGGCATGTTCCAGGTCATCATTGAAGGAAGGGAAATACATCAGATGGAGAAAAGGACAAAGAAAACCCAACAACAAACCAACCCAACCAAACAACCGCAAACCAGAGCCCACAGGCCGAGTCTCCACCATCTTGCAATCTTTCCTCTGCGCTAAGGTGAAACAGGTGAAAGGAAAACTATTCACTGTCGCTCGGCCGAACTGTTTCGACCTGAAATCTGGTGGCTCCTCCTTGTGCCTTTTCTGCAGTTTCTTGGCGTGAAGCTCAAGCAAGATCAGGACACATTTGTGAAATCTTTTTGAAAGCACTCTGCACTGTTCCCTGTGAACTCGATGACAAACCATACAAAGCAGAATCTGCAATAGAATTCCGAGCTCGCTTCAACTCATGATCTCTGCAGCGATATTGCAAACTGTTTCCTCAACCATGTCTGGAAAACCCTGCGAAATCACACTAACAGAATCGACATCAGAATCAGACGCTGCATCTAAGTGGAGAGGCGTCCCAAAAGCCCTCTGAAGATGGACCAAAACGGCCCCATCAATCATCGGCCATGAATCTGTCAAACCGGACCTTCCAATACACCACCTGCACGTCCACTTCCCAGTCCAGCTAGTGCACAAACTGGTGGAAAGAATGAAAACAGACCTTTTGCTGATTTTGAGAGGATGACACAATATATAAGCACAATGGCGAAAGCGAAACTAAGAGCCCATACATTTGTTGTGGGCACTTTTGTGAAAACACGGAAGCGTGTGCGACCCTTTTGCGAATCCCGCTCTT